GAAGATTAAGAATAAAGAGAAAATAATATATAAAAGGATCTAGGGCATAAGTTCACTAATAAATAATATTCCAGGGTAGAATATAATAATCATTCATCAATGCATACATTAATCATATAATAAAGGGCTTTCGCTACGTATTATAATCACACAATTAATTTACCGGTATTAAATCTCATCTTTCGAATCTCGACTTAACCATTTATAAATTAACCTGCCTATTGAAACTAGACCTAAACGTTAATTCTCATCTGTCGAATCTCGAATCAATGTTGTTAAACTCGTGCATAAAAGATCTGCGCAAATCAAGTCACAGAGCATTAATTCAATCAATAGGAAATTAATCTAGCATTGACAATCAACAACAATAAATTACCCCTTCATATTATTTATGGATCCCCATAAACCCTAGAAATAGAACTACTCACACATAGTAAAAACTAAACTAATCAAAACAATAAAATAAGACATGATCAAAGGAATAAAATAAACAGCTAAGATTAAGAGAAGAGAAATTGTTACCAAAATAAATCTGGAATTAAGAATCAAATTAAGAACAAAGTATAAGAGAGAGAAACTAATCTAAAAGCTAAGTAGAGAGAGAAAATCTAAGAAACAGTTAAAAGAGTAAAGAGAAGGTAAAGAAAAGGGTGTAGAAAGGTACTAAACTCGTTTTACGGAGAAGTATTTATACTCCGTAAGAATCCTAAACTAAAACAAACTTAAACGTCAAAATTAACTCCTAATAATAACACGCGCCCGATCGAGCGAGGCACCGCCCGATCGGGCGCGCCTTTTTCCTCTCAAGTACATTTCTCGCGCCCGGCCGGGCGCGTCTCCGGGCGCCAGCCTTTGCTTCCCTCGCCGGGCCGAGCGCGCCTCCGGGCGCCAGCCTCTTTGGCTGGGCGTATCTCTTGGGTCACTGATTGGACTACGATTGGGCTCCAATTCTTCGGGCAATCTGGGTTTCCTCTTCGGGTCTTGAATACTCGGTCCAAAAGCCCCGGTATCACATATACCGATCCCTTAATCACCGGTTCGATGGCTCTAACCTGCCCTGGGCTATAAAAACTGGTCGTGCTTCTCCAATGCTCATAATTGCTCCATAATATATCGGGAAAATGCTCCAAAAGTGCAAATCCCTGCAAAAGTTAACCAAATCTACGAAAACACTAGAAAACACCAATTAGTAATAAAAGTGGCTCTAAAGAGCCAAAAACACTACTAATTATGACCAAGGGACGGGGGTAAAATACTATATAAAATAGACACATCATTAGGGAAAAAGCTTTGATTTTTATTTTTTAGTGACATGCTAGAGTTTGTTATTAATCTTGTTAGTATCATGTCTAGGATCTTGCTATTAATATTATGCTTTAACATGATTATTTTAATTATGATTATTATTTTTATAATTGTTATAATTATTTTTATGATTATTATGTTGCTTGATATTTATTGCTTGATCACACCTTTTATGCATGTTTAAAGGGAATTTGTACTTGTAATCACGCTTAATAAGATAATTAATAATCTGGTTAGGGTTAATTTGATTATAATTCAAGTGATCGCCAATAATAGTTTATTTGTGCATTAATATTCAACCAACATAGATTAAACAGGTTTAGGGTAATCCTATTGATTGCATGTTAGTCAAAAAGCGCACGTGAATACGATCAGAATAAAGTAGAGGCCTATTATTAGGGCAAGTTCAATCTCTTTTAGGTTGGATTTGTACCTTCATCCCCGAACTACCAGTCATTGTTCAAGACCTATTGTAGTTAACGATCTCTTGGATCGTTAAGGGGTGTAACCTTCACCCTGTGAATTGTTTACAAGTTCCTAAAACTTGTTGGCGACTCTTTTGCTCTATCTTCTTTCCCTTTGGACGCCACCGTACTTTAGTGTATGATCACAGTGGGGTTCAAGCTAGGGATAGCGCTTGAAATATTCCCTACAGGTAACACTGGCCGCATTGTTGCATTTGAGCTTCCAGAAGGTATTATGACTGATGAAGAAATTAAAGAAATTTCAACTGATGTAAGTATTCTGTTTTCTTATATGTTTAGTTATTATTGCTTTATGGCACAAAAGTTACCCTTTTTGTATACAAAAGTTACCCTTTATTTGCACCAAAGTTACCCTTTATATGCATTAAAGTTATCCTAAATATTAAGTTAAAAGGGTTACTTTATGCATATAAAAGGGTAACTTTATGGATTTAAAAGGGTCACTTTATGCATTTAAAAGGGTCACTTTTAGCATATATTTTGAATTTTTACTTATTTTATTATTTTTATTTGTAACTTTTTTTTTTCTTTGTTCATATGTTTGTAGGTTGTTCATGAAACGTTTCTTTTGTTTAAAAGAAATATGGATGTTTTATTATTTGTTCAGTCAACTGGTTTTTCAAACCTTGAATGATCTGATTACTTCTCGCAGAAGTGTTTCATTATCTTCTGATGATTCTGTTTCAGTTTCTCAAACTGAACAACTACTCTTTAATCCTCATTATCTGAAGATTTTAGATGGTTTAATTGATGAGTGTAATAAAATGAAGTCTGTACATGATTTGTTTCGCGGTTTTTATGAACCTCAGGTAACAAAGATGTTGTTCCTGAAAAAGAACCCGCACAAGGTTTCAATGAAAATATTCCTAAGGATGATGGCAATGGTCATGGAAAAATAGTTAATGAAGGTCTTAATGGTTCTGGACCTTCTGCTATCATTCCTGGTCCTACTGAAAATATTCCTGTCGGGCATATTGATCAAAATGAACCTGCTCGACGTATCTTCAGAGCAAATAAATCTCTATGCTCTCTGGACTGTGGACTAGTAGGTGTGCAGGTGCCTTTTGTAACTTTGTTTTTGAAGAGCAATTCTCGGATTTTCAGGAATTTGCCTCAGTTACATTTGGAAATTCTAGATATTGTTTGCTGAAGGATGTTTCAATGAATAGGAATTTAAGTGTCGTTTTTTATGATAATTATTTTTTTATCTATTTTTTTCTTATATTTTTTTGTTTTTTTAATGCCGATCTTATTTTTTTATTGTTTCAGTGAGAGCCTTGTTACTTTTGGAATGAACTTTTTAATTCCAAGAGAAGACATGGTGTCCCTTGTTGCTCCACTCAGGATTCGATGGTGCATTATTGATTGCTACTGTCTGTATTTGAATGAGAAAGCATGTTTCAGGCTACTGATCCTCGAAAATTCTTCTTTGGTGTTGGGCAGAGGTGTAAGTTATTTCATTCTTTTTTTTTAATATTTTAACACGTTTACTTTATATATATATTATTGAGATCTTATACTTTAATAGTTTGCATTCTTGCAGGTTTGTGACAATATTGGCAAAGGTAACATTTCTAGTGCTGTTAAGGATTTGCACGACCTATGGGAAGGTTGGGTTAGCTATGAGAATCCAGAATGTGATATAATGGATGCTGATCTGGTATATTTATGCTAAACTTAATGTAATAAATTTTAAAGAGTTCTGTTTATGATATGCTCTGTCTAAATCTCTTTTAATTTTGCTGTTTCAGATCTATTTTCATGTTCTTATTGAGAATCACTATATTTTGTATGTTATTGATCATACAAAAGAGTTAGTATATTATCTTGACAACGTTATCTGGAGTGATTCTGATCTTGTTTATACAAAAGAATTGTGTTCAAACATTGTATGTTTGTGTTTGTTTTTTTTGTTATGTTTCTGTTGATTCATTGTTTGCATTTTAACTTTTTTGATTTTAATGTATTCTAAACTTTTATATTTTATGTCAGTGTGTTCAAATGGGTGCTTTTCTTGGCAAAAGAAATCATCCAAAGAGTTCTCAGCTACCTTCTTATGGTTTTGAAGTTGTTGAGTTGGAATGGAGAAAAGAAAAGGTTGAAAATTTGGACTGTGGGGTCTTTGTCATGTATCACATGCTCCAATTTGTCGGCGAATCGTTCAAATTAAATGAAATCAAAACAATAATTATCTATATAGTTTATGTAGTTTTTCCTTTCTAATGCTTTTATTAATTACATATTGATAATTTTTTTTTCCTGTTGTGAGATTATTGGAAGGAAATTTTTACGAGGAGAGATCTGTACCACACTAGTGCTGTGTGATTTGAATGAATCTAGGAATGATGTGTTGTCAGAATTACCCAAGTTCAACGAGAAGAAGAAAGATCCTGCTTATGTAAATGGAGTTGAAGAAAGATTAAAGGTTGCAATTGTTGAGAAGAAGAAGAGAGAAACAGAAGAAAGAAAAATGGTAGCAGAAGCAGCAGCAAAGGCAGAGGCAGAAGAGGAAAAGACCAAATGAAAAAGGGCAAAAAAGTTTACTACTCCTAAATAGTGAAATAATTGATAGTTATTAGCTTATTAGGTCAGGGGTTTTTTTATAACAATGAAAAAACTTAATGTATGTGCATACATTAAGTTCAATGATGTAATTAAACTTAGTGTAAAGTCTTTGGTTGTTATTTTGGAATACTGATGTATGTGCATACATAAAGTAATTAAAAGGTTTATTTTTATGTTTTTTATGGGGTAACTTTTATGCAGAAAAAGGGTAACTTTTATTTATAGAAAGGGTAACTTTTAAGAAAGAAAAAGATAGATTTTATTGTTAGAAAGGGTAACTTTAGCTATGAAAAGAGTCACTTTTATGTAGAAAAAGGATCACTTCTATTCCTGAAAAGGTTTACTTTTATGTAAATGGTTTATTATGTGAAAAGGGTAACTTTTTTCTGTAAATTAAAAGGGTCACTTTTTTCTGTTAAAAGGGTCACTTTTTGCTTAAAAAATGTTCATTTTTTTTTGTTAAAAGGGTCACTCTTAATTTAAAAATTTAACTAAATAAAGATATGCTAATAATAGTGTCAATCACATATTCATTAAACTAGTCACATAGTAAAAAAAATATATAGTTTTAGAATACAAGTTACATTAATTTTGAAAAAAAAAATGATCTAAAAAAGTTCCTAAAAGAGTCTCAAATTAGGTGTTTTAGATCCAAATTCTGAATGTGGAGGTGGTAGTGCTGGTTTTTTTTTTTCTCTTGCTTTTTTCAAGACCTCCTTTTGCTCTCTTGCTTCTTCCTTTTGTTATAGCCCTTTGTGGATCAAGTATTGTTGGTACACTTGTGCTTGTACTCGATGCCGAAGAAACATCATCATTGCTGTGATTGCTGCCTGCCACATCAGGAATATTAGAAGCAGCTTCTGCACTTTCTCTCTGGGCAGCACTAGCAAGTAAGTCTTCCACCATTTTAAGACTGTTTCTGAAACTCTCTTCCATAAATTTTCTTGTTTCTTCATTTTCTTGACTCTTTAAGATTAGATTGTAGTATTTCCTTATCATTGTTTGTCTCCATGGAATATATTGATGTGTAGGATCCTGATTCTTCAACCTATCCCATGCCTCTGTTTTTGCAAACTTAGTCCATCTTTTTGAAACATACTTGTATGGTATTCTTGTTTTTGAATGCAAGTGTAGAATTCTGATGCAATGATAACATAACCATCCAGATGCTTCAAAATTTTTGCAAGTACACCATACATTCTGGCTCTCATGTATATAGTTTACTTGATGTGCAGACCATGGCTTGTCTTCCAGGGCTACCTGATAAAGTAGACATTCTTCATTTCTTCCTATCATTTGAACAGTTGTTGCCATAGAATATCCAAACTCCTCTTCAAAATCTTTAAAGAGTGACAAATTGAAAACCTGTTCACCAAAATCATTTAGCTACATTTAAACTGCTATAATTTATGTGTAATTTATGTAATTATCAGTTAACTTTTTACTTGAGCAGCATGTTTTAGCATTCCAAATAGTGGCAATGAAGTGAATGATATTGACTTGCTACAGGTAAACTCATCATATTTCTCTGTGCTTCTCCAACGATTGATTGTTTTCTTAAATATGGTATAAAATTCTGTCAAGGTAGTTGCTTTACTTGCTCTGAATCCTATTGCATGATTAGTGCTTTCACTCCTTTGTGACGATAAGATTCCTGCTGAAAAGAAATCTCTACTAAGGGCAGGACACCATTTCTCTTTCAACTCGTACACTTTTTGGTACCAAGAGTGTACTGTCAACTCATATTTCTGCATCATTGCTTGCCATTTTGCTTCAAATTCTTGTTCTGTCACACACATCTTTAAACACTGGTTGAATGAATACTTGAATTCTTTGTCTTTTTTAAGAGCTCCAAATCTGGTTATAGCATTTTGTTCCAAATGCCAGATACAAAGTTTATGCCTTGTATTAGGAAGCACCTACATTGAAAATAAAGGGGTCACTTTATGCTGTTAAAAGGGTCACTTTATGCTGTTAAAAGGGTAACTTCATGCAGTTAAAAGGGTAACTTTATGGGAAAAAGGAAAACATTATTGTCAGAGTTTAAAATCTGTAAAATGTAAATATAAATCTTTTACCTGCTCAATTGCATTTGCCATCGCTTGGTCCTCATCAGTGAATATTGAAGTTGGTTTTTTTATTCTCCATAGCTTTCAAGTATGTTTCTAGTAGCCACACGAATGAATCTGTTTTTTATCCCCAATAAAAGCACATGCAAACATACAATTATGCCAGTGATTATTTATTCCAACAAATGGAGCACATATAAGATTATATCTGTTGGTTCTGTATGTTGTATCAAAGACAAGCACATCTCCATATATCCTATAGTCTTCTAGCATCATTGAATCTCTCCAAAAGATTTTGGAAATTCTTCCTTCCTTGTCAAACTTCACTCTAAAAAAGAAGTTTGGATCCTTTGATTGTTCCTGATTTAAAATGTTCACTAAAGTTTGAGCATCTCCAGCCTCAATTTGTTCCATTCTTAACCTTGAGCAAAAATTCAGGTGATCTACAACACTATGACCTATATTCTGTTCTCCTCCAGCCTTTGTATCCATGTAATTGTAAGTGTCCATTGTAGTTAGACCTGAAGATTTCATTGTTTTTATTGCTTCATCTTTTTCTTCTGTCATTTTTCTTTCAGAACGATGCAAATAATGCCACTGTGACCTTGTTAGCTCATGGTTATGCTGAATAACATGAGCCACTACCTCAAACTTTCCTTCTTTATTCACTTTTGCTCTTATGCATGCCTTGCAATTCGATCTTGTAATGGCTACTTGTCTTGGCTTTCTTGTTTTCACATTCACATCCTCTTCATTAACCATTTCAACTAACTTTGTTTTCTGGTAACCTGAATTTCTCTTTCCTTCACCACAACACACATAATTTTTCTCAGTTACTATTTTTGTGTGTGTCTGGTATCTAGTTGTATGTTTTCGTATTGAAAACCCCAGTATAGCAGCATGTTTTTCATACAATTCCAAAATTTCTTCAAAAGTTTCTCTTACCACACCAAAAAATGAACCTCTAAGATCTAAACCAGAAGCATGAATTGGATTTGTATCTGTTATTTAATACAGATATATCAGATTATAATCAGAGGCGACATATAATTCAATTTAGAGGAAACAAAATGGTAACATTTGTTCGAAAATAGGGGTCACTTTTATGCATGAAAAGGGTAACATTAAGGCATACAAAGGGTTACTTTTTGCATACAATCTGAATTTTCTGCATACAATCTTAGGGTAACATTTGTGCATAAATAGGTTCACTTTTATGCATGAAAAGGGTAACTTTAAGGCATACAAAGGGTTACTTTTCTGCATACAATCTTAGGGTAACATTTGTGCATAAATAGGGTCACTTTTATGCATGAAAAAGGTAACTTTAAGGCATACAAAGGGTTACTTTTTGCATACAATTTGAAATGTTTATAGAAATTACCTTCAGTTGCATTTGATTTGGTTGTTTGTTCTGAATTTGAATCAATTCATTTGCCAGGAACCACTTGATTTTCTCCATTCTCAATTGCTTCTTCTACATTCTCAATTACTTCTTCTGCAATCTCAATTGCTTCTTCTGCATTCTCAATTGCTTCTTCTGCATTGTTAATTACTTCTTCTGCATCGTCTACATTGTTTGGATTGTTGAATATTGGTACGAATTCATCTCCAAAACTCTTAGTTTCTTCTTCTTCTATAATCGATCGATTTAAATCGATTTCAAATTCAGTTTCAATTTGCCTCTGTTTTTGTAGCAATTCGTGGATGAGATTGCTACAATTTGTGGTATCGAAAGTCGAATTTTCCATTGATGATCGAATTCTCCAATTTTTGCATCTTCTCACTTTCTCTCTTCTCAATTGATGATCGAATTCCTCAATTTGTAAGTTTTCTCACTTTCTCTACCTCAATTGATGATCGAAATTTTTAATATGTGCGTTTTTTTCACCTTTTTTCTTCTCAATTGATGATCGATTTCTACAATTTTTGCGTTTTCTCACTTTCTCTCTACTCAGTTGATGATCAAGGGCTACGTTTTCTCACTTTCTCTCTCCTCCATTGTTGTTCTGCGTTTTTTTTTATTTTGAGGTATTAAATTTCGCGATTTTGCTTTTTTTTTAAAAAAAAAAAAACCTAGTAAATCAGTGGCACGTGCAAACAGTCCGATGTACAGTAAAAATACTGTACACCGGGTGCATGAAAAATGGATTGAAATATGTTTAACAATAAACTGAATGATCAAGGCCCATATTATTAAAAACCAGCACACTAGCCCAGGCATACATTTCTCAGCACGGCTGTAGCGGGTTGCTTGGCCTGCTTCATGTTTAGCTTCTCTCATTGCCCAAGCTATGAAGTATGAACTACGGAGTAAAGTTCATAAATGATTTCAGTTATACACTCCTTTCATTCCATTAGTATTTATCCCATCTGACAGTGTTTTAATAGTTTTTGAGTCAAATGGGGCAATTTATGTGAGACGGAAGGAGTATGTGTTATGAATCATAAAAATAAATTTAATATAGAGTAATCAAAACTTTTTTTAGTCGATAAAAATAATTTTATTTGTGTAAGAACTAGGTAAAGGGAATAGGAATTGATTGAGGATGTAAGAGGAGAATTGAAGACTATAAAGTTTTTCTACCCTATTTCTTGAAAGAAAAAAAAAAAGTTATTCTACCCTATATTTCAAACCCAAAAAAAAAAAAAAAAAATAAATAAAAAATCACCCTCTAAGGGCCTATTCTATTCAGCTTAATTTCAGTTCCAATTAGTTCACTTTAGTTCATAATTTCCTTCTCTCATAAACAATTCATTTCATTTCAGTTCCAATCAGTTCAGTTCAGCTCAATTCAGTAAATCAGAACAGTCCCTAACTCTTTATCTATCTAGTTTCAACTTTTATTTATTTACTTACTTTAGTCGTTTGAAAAATGACTACCATATTATTTTAATGATATATAATATAATTGGTTTATGTTTTCACGTTATAAAATTGTTACAGTTACTCTTATACTATCAACAATGTAAATACGAAGTATAAATTTTGGAATTTTAATTCAACCATAAAATAAATATTTTTTTAGAAACTATAAAAAGGATAAAAATTACATAAATGAAACTAAAATTATGATAAATAAAAAAAAAAATTGATAATACAATTTAATACCATTAATAAAATAATATAATTAATTACTTGGAAAAAAAATATGTCAATTATAAACTATATAATCATTAAAACATTATAGTAGTCATATTTCAAAAAACTACTGTAAAATTTTCATAATAGATATTACTGTGAATCATTAGAGTGAACTAGGTAAATGAGATATACTAATAGAATGAAGTGTTTTCCTAGAACTTATAAAAAGCTTTTGAACTCAAGCTATATATTGAGAAGCTTAATTTAAACTTTTTACTTTTTTAAACTATACGGCTCAATGCATTCAACTTCATTTGGCCAAATACAAAGAATTTGAAGAACACGAAATCATCATACAATTAAAAAATTAAAAAACTTACCAATAGTTTTATCATATTTGTGACTCGAACATGTAAACATGATGCCCTCGAAACATGAAACGAAGAAGTTGCTAATCGTATCGGACACAAGATACTACTACGACGGTACTTTCTATATTTGTTAGCATTTCCACGTGCATAAATTGGTCCAAATTTATATTCATAAATAGTACAAGTACTATAAATCACAATCTATATGAGATTATAGTGATTAATTTAAGAGTAAAATAGTAATGACTGACAAAATTAGGTGCACCCGTGCACTAATTGCTGATTTGCTTAGCTAATTCTAAAGTACTGCTGTAACTTTTAGGTTCACCCGTGCACTAATTACAGTAAAGTACCACTGTAATTTTTTTTTAATTTAATTTTTTACCCTTTTTGTTCTGAGTTTTACAGTAGGAATAAATGTGAATAAATAAGGTGGAACTTTGTAGTTAATCCCACACTTTTATGGTGGTTGCAGAGTATCCTAAGCAAGCAGCCCACAAGACCCACATTATTAGTTATTACCTACTTTGTCATCTTCCTCACCGGCCTTTATGGCCCATTTTTTTTTTTTATCACATTCTTCGTTAATGTGATTTTTATTTTTATTTTTTTTTGTCACATGATTTTTTTTCTCTTTTTTTTCAATTATAGATATGGTAGTGGACTTTTCAAAAGTGGACTTCCATAGTTTCATGCTCTCTAATTTAAGCAATAATTAGATGAAGCCCGTGCGATGCACGGTTTGTTTGAATTTTTAAAAATAATTTTTTGGGTTTTTCTACATTATAACCCTGTAACTTTTGGTTTTCTACGTTGTGCCCTCCGTTTTCAGGAAATCTACGTTGCAACCCCCATTTTTGAATTTTCTCTCCACAGTAACCTCACCGTTAGTACGCCGTTAAGTGCTTCCGTTAAGTTAGTGAGGCATTGTACTTTATTTCTTTTTCTTACGTTTGGGTGGGAAATTTTCCCTCCAAAAGAAACAGTTGCCCCCCCCCCCTCTCCCTTCTTCTTCCCCCTTTTATATTTTCCCCATTAAAGTGAACACTTTTTCTAGGGTTTCAATTTTCGCAAGTGATGTCTTCTTCTTGCTCGTCATTTCCTTCCAATTCCACATGTTCGTTGCAATTTTGCAGCCCCCGATGTTTTTGCAACCCTTCAAGACAAGCGAAGTTGAAGATATCGACAACTAATCGCAATCCAAGGAAAGCGTTCTTCAAGTGTAATGTTTGCGGATTCTTCAAGTGGTTTGATGAAGGTGATTTACAAGGCCTTGAAGCAGTGCGGAATGATGAAAGGGAAATTGCAATTGTTAAGGAGAAATTAACAGAGCTTAATTGTTACTTTAGGGATGTAGTTAAAATAGCTGTGATTATGTATGTTGTGTTAGTCATAATTGTGATGTTAATGAAATGAATTGAGATTCTAACTCCATGTACTGGTGTAATGTGTTAATGAATTAATGAAATGAATTGAGTATTGTTTGTTTGTGAAGTACTTGGCAGCTAATACTTATCTTTTTGATATTAAAGCAATAATTGATACAGTAACACAATTATAAAGCAAAGTAGTGA